AAAACCCTTAATTGAGAACACTCATAATTTCCAAGAGTAGGTTTAATGGTTTCTACTGGTCATGCAATGAAAATGGACTGTTACATGACACATTGTAAATAAGCTGTTCTAATAACCTCAAAAAATAGTAAATGCAGGGCAACCTGGTGGACCAGCAGAGCTGGCTCCCCTTGTACAAAGGCTGAGCCCTCGCTGCAGCAGCAATGGGTTGGAATCCAACCTGTGGCTCTTTGCTGTGTCTCATCCCCTCTCTCTCCCCCTTTCCTGTCTATCTTCAGCTTTCCTGTCAAATAAAGGCAAAAAGCCCCCAAAAAATATCTACAAAAAGAAAAATTAGAAATGCAACAATGATCAGCCACTTCCTGTGTGGACGTTTGTGTGATGAATTATTCTCAAAAAACACAAAAGTGAAATAAGAATAATGATAAGATTGTGTTTTGTTTCCAGACATACAGTGATATTTCTCTGGGGAAAAAAGACAGTTTTGGGACACCAAAGTACAGCTACAAATTTAACTGTGTTCTTCATCTTTTTTGGTGTGGAAGTCAGTGTACCAGAGGTACAGTAAAGCAGTTACAGTTACAGTATGCTGCTGATGGCCTCAGGTGGCTTAATCCAACATGAGCACACGAAAGGACTGGAGCACCTCACCTCTGAACCACCTCACCACTAATTGATGCAATTACAATGTCAGCAGCTGGCAGACTAGAATGGAAGTGAATGGATTGTTTTGGCTTGTGTGGGGGAGGAGGAGTGGACTCCCGCTTTCTGACAGCCTCATTTGCTGATTCAGCCACCAATAAGGGAGGAGGGTCACAACTCCAGACTTCAAATTTTGAATGAAAGTGGTTTTATAATCAAAGAAATGTCAGTTTTAGATCATATGAAAATGTAAAAATGCAACAGCTGAGTTTTGGGCCACTTTTGCTAGCTATATTTTTACCTTTTAGGCTGATATAGTGAACTTTTTAGCAAATAGTTTACTATTTACACATCCATTGTTTTTGCATTCATTTGGAGTCGTGTTTGTGCAATCCTTTTAGCTCTGCTTTTGGTCTCTGCCAACTCCGAAGGGAAGGGGCTCTATAGCTGCAAATGCTGCACTACATTCACCCGATAGTCGCTATCTTCGTCTGTCTGCAGTTTGGTCCTGAGCACAGTGGGTTTTTCAGAGCTTTTTCACTAAAAACAGCTGCCTGCTGCAATCGACACAAAAAAAGGAGCGGTGAGAATGAACCAAAACAGTAAAGTCGGGGCTGAAAAACCAAAACAATGAGTTGAAAAACACTAAAACGCTCCACAGAGGAAATGCAAAGTCGGGTGATAATTGTGTCACAAGATTTAACTTAAGATTGTTTTTGTTAATATAAAAGTATTGATTATAGCAGCTTTTTAAAGCTATAATATGGATTCAAAGTTATTTATTGTCATTGATTCATTAATGAAAATAAGTTATAGATCCCTTTATGCTTCTTGTAAAAATTCTAATGATAATAATTTTGAGTTGTTACATTATGCCAAATGTTTCCAATAGTGTTCAAACTAGAGCAATCTGTCATTTTATTCCAGAAACAGTGCGTTTGATCGGTCGCGTCAGTGGCGCCATTTCCCCTTTGTGTCCGTGTTGTGGTTGTCTGCCTGAAGCTCTTATAAGTTGACATTTTATCCAGTTTTAAGCTACTTTTTTATGATACATTTCTTAAATCTTGGTTGTTTTTAACACTATATTTGAAGGATTTCAGGAAGTCATCAAACATCTGGATCTTAAGTTATTAGAGAAACAAGCTGAGCTAATGTTAACAGCATTTCGGCTGGCAGGGACCTCCTTCGTCTGCCAAATGAGAGTGAAAAGTGAAACTGCTTTATTCTCTATCATCGTTATCACTGGTTTCATTAACAGATCTGTTTGTTTTGGAGGGGAGGAGACCTCTGCAGATAATCCGGCTCCCGCTAGAAACCTCTTGAACGGAGATAACAACTACCATGATCCCATGATCACAACCCCATCAAACTTCGTCTTTTGTTATTGCTTTGATGTGAGAGACCCCCCTAGCGGCAGCAATGACATATTGTACGTTTAGAGAACAGATGTCTGTAGATACATTAGGCTCAATGTTTTAATATTAAACCATGATGGTGTTCCCTCATTCACTCCTATTAACTACAAGGAAAGCAATGAATGTTCTGTACAGTGCTTAGATTTATTAAGTCTTTAGTGTTACAAAAATGTACAATTTGTATAAACACTATTGTTATAGTAACTGAAACTTAACCTCTGTGGCCATGAAGAGAATGCACTTAGGATTACTGGTTCCATGGCATTGAAAGTTAATATCATTTGGTGCTCCGCCACCACTGACTGTGTTTCATTTTTAATATAATTTACAAAAAAGTCACAGAAAGACACAAAAGTCCCTCTGTCCAACACAAACACAAAAATGTGGAATAAATATTTCGGGGGAAGCGTCTGTGGAACAAAAACAGCGATTCAGTGGGGCAGAATCTGTGCAAGCTTGTGAAGGATTATAAGGATATTTTAAAATCTATTTTATAGTTCTCTTCCCCTCATACCGCCACGTGGATGCAAATGAGTCCATATATTAGTCCCACAGTTAACAGGCAAACATTGAAAAAGAATTCTTCTTTAAAACAAGTGTAGAAAAGCACTTAGTGAAGACTAACTGCTAGCGAGGTTCCCTTTAAAAATCTATAACTTAAGCTTTCAAAGGGCAGCTGCACGATTGCAGAACAAATAATGTGTCAATACTGCTTCAGTTGTTATGAGCAAATCCATTTCTCCTGACCCTAAGGCCGTGTGTAATTGTTGTTTTGTTGGCACAAATCGCTCCCCCATTAAAAGGGACCATTAAGCTTGGAAGTGTCTCAACAGTGGATAAATCTAATAAGGTCCACAGTGTGAGCCAAGAGTTCATCTCTTTCTGTTCCTGTTGTGCTTCACCATCTTCTTCCTCTTCACGATCATCTCATAAAGTTTCTCCAGGCCCGGCTGGAGTCCCTGACCGTCCACGGCGCTGCAGCTTTGCACGTGATGCAGCGTGTACGTGCTCAGTTCGTGGACAGAAAGCAGCTTCTCCACCTCGCTGACAGACGAGGCCGAATCCAGGTCCTGTTTGTTGGCCAGGATGAGCACGGGGACCCCCTGGTTCTCTGAGGTGCGGGTGATCTTGTGGAGCTCCACTTTGGCCTCCTCCATCCGCTCCTGCTCAGTGGAGTCCACCACAAACACCATCCCGTCTGTCCGCCGGGTGTAAGACTTCCACAGCGGGCGCAGCTTCTCCTGACCTCCCACATCCCACACCTGGAAGTTTATGGTCCGGGACGTCCCCACAGCCACCTTGATCTTCTCCGTGTTGAAGCCCTTGGTGGGGATGGTTTTCACAAACTCCTTCAGTTTGAGCCGGTAGAGCAGAGAGGTTTTGCCGGCGGAGTCGAGCCCGATAACCACCACGTGCAGAGACTGGAAGTTTGGCAGGAACGACGGCGTGTTCGGAGCCATATCAGTCAGCTGGTTCCCCATGACTGCAGCCAGCAACTCACACCTACTTAGGTGAGGTGACAGATTCCTGATTTAATCCTTTTTTCTTCAGCAGATTGGCATTTGCTCCCTGTCCTCAGAGGCAGACCTTATCAAAACACACACATAGCACAGAGTTAACATTTAATTTGAAGACAATGGGTGCTTAAGGAATGTGTCATCTGAGGGACACAAAAGAATAGATATTGATGATTATCAGCAGGAGTGCTTGATGTTATTTAATCTTATCAACATGGGACTTCCTGTTTGCAGCTGAGATTTATGACTTTACTGTAAGCAAACTTCCCCCCCCCATTCAATTAATCCAAGCCTGCATACTTGAGTAACTTCTCTTCTGATTACATAAAACAATACACATCTTGGGCGTTCTTTCAGTGCCACATTACGGAGCCAAACAACAGCTAATTGGGTGGCTGAGGTTATCTAGAGCCTAATCCTCTTAAGGCTGCTAAAACCTGAAAGGCTTTTCTTGGGGCAGATTGATTCCAATGCAGCGGATGGATGATATGTATTCACTCTGTCTGCGACGACTGCAGCAGCAGCACTAATCCGGTTGTTGTTGACATCCTGATACCCATCAAACAGCTGCCTTCGGACAGAATACAGACATTGCATGTTTGCAGGAAGATATCTATTATTTACCCTTAAGAAAATCCTGCTGCTGCAACAGTATCATTCAGCGATTATTGGTTATAGAGGGAAAATGCACAGTCATGTTTGTGAATCGAGTGTTTTTTTAATTACTTGATTGTATTTGAAATAATTCTGTTGGGAATAAGCCACCTTAGTTTTCTTCCTCTTTTGCACGGCACATATGTTTTGCGTTGCATGTTATTACCGTGAAGTGTGCAAAAAAAAAAAACACCAATAAATGAAACAACTTCTCCTCCAGAGAGCCCGTAAGGGTAACTTTATGAGCTCACCAGACAAAATGAGCGCCACTGATATAAAAATGCAGTTTTAACACAGCAAATAAGAAACCACCTCAATAAAAACTGTCCTTCCTCCGTGCACATTTTAAAAAATCATAAAAATTCCTACCTTTTCAAATGCGCTCCGAACACATCATCCACAGGCAATGAACACATCCATAGTTGACTTGTAAACAAATTGTGTTTGTCCGCTCCTGTCCTCCTCCAGCAGCACTGAGGAGACCCGGAGAGGCTCGAGCGCACGGCACCTAAAGCCCGGGTGACGTCACGGCCACCTGGACACGCCATCCAACGCCCCCTGCAGGTGACAGCGGGGAACTGCACGGTGCGAGGAGGCACGACAGCAAAATACTCTGCTGCACGTTAAAGTCCTGTGTTCAGAATGTGTGTGAGCAGAAATGGCTGCATTCAAAGTGTTACATTTATTACACATTATTGGAATTATATACCTGATTCATTACCATATAGGCAGCCGGGGTTGGGAGGGTTAACTTTAAAAAGGTAATCTGATAGTTAATAATTACCTGTTGAAAAATGTAGTCAGCAACCTAATCCAAGAATCACAATATTAAAGTAACGTAACTTTATTATTTACTTTCTTGATTTTCTTGATTTTTTTCTGTTACTTTTGGATTACTTTAACACCAAATACGTAAATAAAAACAAGAGAAAAGAAATGTCGATAAGAAGTATTGATGCCCGTGTATCCTATAAGACAACAGAACAGTGTGACCTTAGAAAAGAAAATGGAAACAGAAATAAATGTAAAGGTTTTTAGAATAAAAATGTCCTCTGCTTAGTGTATTTTGAAACAAACACTGTAAAAATTGTAATCCCGCTAAATAATCCCTATTTTTTACTACATGTAACATTAATCTGATTATATACTGTTGTGTTTATAACAATGCATATTTTATAAACTGATGATATTTGACACACAAAGTCTTGATCTATGGCTGTCAGATAAATGTAATGCAGTAAAAACTACAATAGTAATGTGCTGTATGGAGTAGAAGTGCAAAGTAGCATGAAACTGAGATACTATCAGTATTTCACTACTTGTGAGAATAAACTGTTTCAGTATTCTACCGAGCCATTGTTTCCTCTGCAGATTGAGTCATCTCATGCTGCATGTATGTAGATTCATTTTTTTCTGTGCACATATATTACTCTGTATGCTTTTAAAAATGGCAGTTTCTTGGCAGGAACACAATCATGTAATTTACCACAATTAACATCAGTTCTGCATCTTTCACTGTAAATACTAGAGCTTGTCATTGTCTGACAAAGCATTGGCTCCACCCTGTGTCCACTCTGAAGAACTTCCTGTTGTAGATGTTCATGCTTTTCTGTGTTCTGGGTTGACACTAAAAATAATTAAGAAGTAATTTTGACTGTTTGTCTATCTGAAGTGTTCAACTCAAATGACTGCAAACATGCAATCTGCCCACACAACATCTCTCTCGGATTGGATTTCAATCTGCATTTAAGTACAATACTACAATGTCAAAATATTGCTTATATTATAATTAAGTCCTGCATATACAAGTACACATTATGGCACAGACTCCATGTTATTATTTTTTGAATATTGGATCATAATGACTGATACATTAAAATGTTATCAGTTTTTTAATGTAATGGGAGGAAGCTAATTGCAAAGACTTTATATCCTATTGGGTAGTTTAAACCATTGCAATAAATCATATTTTGTCAACTGATCATTGATTTTATATGTAAAATCTCCTCCTGCGGACTAGTAACTTAGCTGTCAAATAAATGACTCTAGTAGTGGAGTAAAAAGTACATTTCCATCTGAAATGTAGTTGAGTAGAAGTATGAAGTAGCATAAAATGGAAATACTCAAGTAAAGGGCCAGTAGCTCACAATTTGACTACAGTACTTGAGTAAATGTACTTATTTTCCACCACTGCTCATCCACAGAGGCTAGAGAAGCACCTGATTAAATTGTTTGTGTGTAATGCTATGCAACGTGAGTTTAAAAGGACGGTTCACCCAAAAAAACAAAGCAAAACAAAAATCATATCTTACATTTGTACAGAGCTACTGAGAAACTTTTCTTCTTTTCTAACATAATTTACTTTAATAATTAACAGTCATCTTTCCAGAAACAGAAAACTTCCAAAAAAAACTCAGGAGCAACATCTATTTCCAGCTAAAGTTATCCCCATTAGTCTGGATAATCCACAGAACTCGCTGTCAAGTTTTCACAGAAACTACTTTCTTCTGCACAAATGGCTCCTGTATATTGTTGACAGTATTTGGAGGATTATCCAGAGTAATGAGCATACCTATTGCTGGAAAATACGTGCTTTTAAAGTTGGTTTTTAAAAGTCACTTTTTAATGTTGTGATATTTCAAAACCTGAACAAATAAAAGCAACATGATATGCATGGCCAGAGGTGGAAGTCAAAATACAATGTTTTCTGGAATTTGGGCGCAGTTACAAAATATAAATATAAATTATGACATATGTGATTTTATAATTGCAGGGACTATCAGGTTACAGTATAAACTGGGAGTGGAAAAAGGCTCATGTCGGGAAATGCAGCCACTATTATGTAATTCAGCACCACCTTAACACAACGAGGATCAATTTAGCAGAGTCTACAGTGTGCTGTAGTGTGAGGACGGAGGGTTCATGGAGGGTAAAATGCCACAGTTTATTGAAGTGCAAATGACAAAAGACAAGAATATCAGATCTGATCAGAGATTAACATCCTATTTACACAATATCTGGCATCCTGCCCGTTTCCAAGAATGTATGTATGAATGAATAAGTTCAATTTTAAAGAAATTTACATGTCTTCAAATAAAAATACAAAGTTATAATAACAATGTGCTTATGAGACCACTCTGCCTGCAATACAGATGTACAGGTCTCAAACAAATAAGAGCAAAAAAAACATTAATGCTAAGACAAACGTGTAGTTTAAGCATCAATATTTTAAATTCTAACATTGTAGTGGTTGATTTAAGTCTTAAAGTATGCTAAAACAACAGAATAAGATAAGATGCCTTTTCACAGTAGTCATCATTCACAAACTCACCTCCCATACAGAGGAGATTAGGGTGCAATGCGACCAGAATATTCATCATTTCACACTCCCACATTGGTGTTTTTCATTTTGATTTCATCATCTCACAAGATGTGGGATTGTTGAATTGTTGCCACAGTCAATATATTCAAAGGTGTCCAGAGACACCTGCTCGGTGTGAGAGAGATAGGAAATATTCATCGTCATTCTGGGGGAGGGGAAAAGCAGAAAAAAAAACATTAATAGAGATAGTTGGAGTCATCAATCTGCTGTGTCATGTTTGCATAATGTTTTTAAAGCAGTACTAGTCAATATTTCTTAGGACAAAAATCTGACTGTGTCTGCTGTGTTCATCACTGTTTTGTATATTCAACATAACAACTTTATAAAGTGATATTATGTATGTGTTGAGCTTGTTCCGCTGCCCCCAAGTGGTCAAAAAATCAACTTAATGCAGGTTCAACTTTTATCACAAGTTCAACTGTTATGAATGTATTCAACTTTTATCCCTAACAACAAGAAATACAATGTCATCCTAAGTGGTACAGTATAACATAATTAAACTGTGAAGAATGTGGTTTGCAACTTAAGAATAGGCTAGTTTGCAGTATGTCAATACGTTCTAGTGTTAAAAAACTGAAATTGATGTAATCATCTGTTATGGTTTTAGACTAAGTGGTATGCTTGAGTTCAGTGAAACAATTTGGAAATAAAACAATTTATTGATTTCTAATGCCACCATTAGATAATTCTATTCAATGTTGAGTCAATGTGCCACAAGAATGTAATGTTTTTAAATTAAAATATCTTCTAAAAATCTTCTAATCACATCAAAACAGTACACCATATTGGACAAGTTGGGAGTAAGAACAGGCTGATGTACTGTATATAAATTTACATGTGATCCATTCAAATCCTTGTAGGAAAGCAGCTGGTCACAAGCAGAATAGTTATCTGGTTTATGTTTGATTTTGTGGTTAAAATCTACTTTTTTTTGGTTTTATTTTAAGTCTATGTTGTTTTTGTATTATCTAAAAATCAGATTCAAAGATCTGACTTTGAAGGATAAGACCAGGTTTTGAAGAGAACTAATTTTGTGGTTGTGGTTTTGTGTGTTGCCTTTAACAGCCTGCGGGTTTCGAGATAAGCTAACGTGGCGGCCTTTTCCGCTGATTTTAAGATTGAGATTGACACTTACTGCAGCTCCAGAAATAACGTGTGAATCTTGATAGTGCTCGACTTGCAGTAAGCGCTGAAAGAGATAGAGCAGTTGATGTGTGGACATGTGCTAAACTCAGACATATAAACAGTAATGGCTCACGTTTTATTATATCACTTATATATGATATCACCATCATACATTATTTCTGTTGGAAAATTAAGGTTCATTTCAAACTTACTTTAAGCCTTTATCACTGATAGGCAGGTCAATTTTAACAGTGTACTGGAAAAGAAAGAAGGGTGAGAAATGAATTGTATTGTAAATATATTAACAGTATATTTTGATGTGAATCCTGCTGTGTGAAACTCACCGATTTCTGTGAGCGGGACTGGATGGCGGTCATATTCGATATCTTGGTCTTTCCCACAACTGAGTGCGAGATCAGACCCTGAACACTAAACTGGACGATCTGAACTGGGACAAAGTTCTCGTTGGTGATGTTGATGAGGTTCTAGGAGAGGAAACACACAGCTCGTCAGGTGCAACCGACTCACCTCTCTACCATTAAAAAGTCTCAGGGAACTTTGTCCTTACAAGTATATGTGAATGACGCGTACTTTAAAATATGGTGGCTCAGCAAACACGTAACAGGACATGTATGTAGAATATACTGTATGTCGAAGGATAAATACAATCTAATATATAAAGTTATAGAATATAAAGTTTCAATCATTATTTGTATCCTGTTTTAACTGATATTATTTTAATCTTCATTGTGTTTTTAAATGTTGTTCTACTGCATTTCTTTAGGTAGTTTGACATTTTAGGATAAAATCTGAACTAAATATGTGGCTGCAGCTTAGCTTAGCATTAAAACTACAAACAGGCTGCCTACCAACACCTCTAAAGCTCACTAATTTATGTCACATTTGTGCAATCTGTACAAAAACGAAGGTGTAAAACTGGATGGAGCCAGGATAGGAATGCTTTTGACCAATAGCTACTGTGGTTTTGCTTTGCAGGGCAGAATACTGTAGTGTCGTTTATTATACAGACACCAAAACAATCCCTGAACATCCTTCGACTTGCTCAGTAAAAGGACTTTGATTGACAACACTGCTGCACTCTTGGTGCTCCTATTACTTACTGTGACCTGCATTTCAACTGCATTTGGGGTGAAGTAAACCATGACCGACAGCACAGACACAGGCGTCAGAATGACACTCCGCGGGAAGAGGAAGAAGAGGAACAGACAGCAAAGAAGGAGACAGACAATCATGGAGACACACACGTACAACTTCCTGTAAGGCAATACAAACATGCAAATTGTTCATATTAAAGTTGTCAACATGTACACACACTCCGACTAATGTTGTATACAAAACAATGTTTAATTATATTTAAACTGTATAAAAATTAACAGATTTTTTATACAAAACTAATACTAAACTATAAAAAAGCACACAAATACACATATGTCCCTTACGTGCGTCTGGGTTTCAACCTTACATCATTACACGGTATTACAGCAACCAGCTGGTCTTCATGGCCTGTCAATACAAAAAAGACAGATTGTAAGTAAGTTGTTTTTACCCTAAAAAAATTATGTGAAAGTGAATTGTGGCTTAACACACTGCTCAGCTGAACAGACTTTGTTCCCTTTGTTGTGGAACGTGAAATGAAAGTTAACTGAGGATGAGGAATGTTGCAACACTGGCTCAGTTAGCTGCATTGAAAGCACTGACGTTG